CTTGCGCATCAGAACAACTGCCACCCTCTTCATCAAGAAACATCAGATTCGACGCTTCCTGACGGAAGGTTCAGACGGGCTCCTGACACCCATTCCTGACCACAGCCATCACCGGCGGCAATCTGTTGATCGCACTGCACCGTGTGAAAGCCCTTCAGCTGCTGACGCGTGTGTGCCGGTGCTGCCGCCACAGGGGTCCTGCAAGCGCGGGGACGCCTGCACCTTCGCCCACGGCGTCTTCGAGTGCTGGCTGCACACCTCGCGCTACCGCACAAAGATGTGCCGCGACGGCCCTTCCTGTGCGCGCCGCGTCTGCTTCTTTGCGCACGCGCCCGCCGAGCTGCGCAGCCCGCCGCCGCCCGAGGCCTCATCCTCCTCGGAGCGCACGGACGAGACCGACAAAGAGAATCTGGAACCTCCCAGGCCGACCGGGCCGGCGGGCCCGCAGGCGGGCGGGCCCACAGGGCCCGACCCGAGGGCGGAATCCGGACCCCGGGGCCCGCCGGAGTCCCCTGGCGTGGACGCGCTGAGCGCCATGCCCGGGATGGTGCTCGTCAGGCCCAGCCCTGGACCCCCGGGCCCGGATCCAGTACGTGGCTTAGAGTACTACCGGCCGGACGGGGGGGCCCGAGCCCCGGCCGGGATGATCCCGGATCCGGGATCGGGATACGGTGACGGCAGGCCGTCAGATACGGTAAACCACCGTTGGGAGGCCCCGCCGCCGGGCCCCGGGGACCGGCTGTCCGGACGCGCCCACATACTGTTTGGGTCTTACGTCCGTTTCGTAAAAGATGGCCCGTTCTCGTGGTTCGTGGTTGGGGAGGAGGCGGAGGGAAGCTGGAGGGAAGGCGGGGGTACGCCGGGGGGAATGGGCGGCGAAGCCGGGTGCAACCTGGGGGGGCTGATGAGCGAGTGGAGCCTGCGGTGGGCGGTGAACGGGGAGTTGAGCCTGCGGGGGAATTTTAGGGGCGTGAACGGCAACGCTGGTGCATCGCCGTACGGTGAATCGTATGCACCACCGTATGGTGAATCGTACGCATCGCCGCATGTTGATCCGTATGTGCTACCGTATGCAAATGGTGACGGTGCGGGCCTGGTTGGCCGCTCGCACGACATGGCCGCACGGAGGGACGACAGCCGAGGGACCGGGGGATAGGGCATTCCTATTCCTATCCGGAAGGAGGGCTCCTAATTAGGGACGTGCGAAGTGGGCCCCCGAGGGAGGGCATTCTTCGGGCGGAATTCTGTCCCAATAAACCGTCTGGGACCCGAACGCATGAGGCCGAAGGAGGGGTGATTCCGTTTTGCAGGGGGACGAGCGAAGGCGAAGGAGAGGGGTGGTTGAGGCGTGGGTTTTGCAGGCGGGCGTGGGGTGGGTTTGTGGGGCATTCACGGTTGGCCCTGCTAGAGGCTCGAGTCCACTCCTGTCCAACGAATGAAGTGTTTTTTACCTTCATCTCAAACCCGGTGGCGAGGCTGAAAGAAGAAGTGGTGCGGCGTGGTTGTCCGTGCGAGTGCGCCCTTGAGGAGGGCAACGATTTTCGCCTGGGAGGTGGCATTTGATTCTTGCTTTTGGAAGGACAAAGTCGAGCGGCGAAGGCACGAGGCTGTGCGGATGCTGTGCCGTCAGCGAGGAGGCGGGAGGCTTGTCTACATAGGATGGGTGGGGGGCGCATATGATGTGGGAGGGTGGGCAGGGGGCCATGCCACGCGCACGTGTGTAGGAAGGCTGCGGCCTGGGCGCCGCTTTTGGTGTATGGGAATGGGGACACAACGACGATGACGAACGACGACTGAACGATGGGGACTGAGAATGGATCATTTTGTCTGCTGCCGGGGGTATCCGGAAATTCGAAAATTCCCAGGGCTCGAGCGGCCCCCCTGCCCGGTCTGATTCAGAGACCGAATCCACAGGCGCGAACGGGCGCGAACATGCCAGTTCGCGGACGTGTCCGAACAAGGGGTGGCAGCGCAGGTGGGGCCCCTGGTCCGGGCCGCAGGCGCAGTACATGGCACAGTAGTAGGAGCAAACCCAGAGAATGACGACGACGAGCAACCGGGGGGTCGGCAGCCTGCGAATGGCGGGGCGAATCGGCGCCCAACTTGAGAGCGAAAGGGAAGCTTGTGTGGGCGCAGACAGACCCGATTTTTTTCATTTGCGGAGGGCGGGGGGGTAGGGGGCGGCGATGTTTGGGGCCAATTCATTCACCGAGGCCGCGAGAGGAGGGGATGTTTCTGATTTTGGCTCCCCGCATGTGGTGCGCATACATACGTATTGTGCTGCGCCGATGCTCATTTTGCATGTATACTAACGTGCGGGGAGCGGGAAGAACGGGAAGTATAGGGAGAGCGGGAAGAATGGGAGGGTGGGATTCATTGTACGGTGCCGGAGGGCAGTACTACGGTTGGCTGGTTTGCTCTATCCATGTCGTGGATGACCTTGGGCGGGGTGTGGGCTTTTCTGGAGCGTCCCGCGCCCCCTGCCGAGGGTGCGGGGGTGATTTCGCTCTTGTTATGGGTGTGTTGAGGATGGGCCATCTGATGGGCCGCGCCGGGGCCCGAGGGGTTGGCCCGGACGCGAGGTGTATCAATCGATTGATGAGGGGCAGAGGCCGGGGTGGGCCTGGCCATTTTCTCCTGGAGGAAAGTGGCACAGGGCTTAGTACTTCATGAAAGCCAGAGGCCGGAGGCGACGGGGCGGGGCTGGAGATGTCGAATCTAAGGGGGCTGTGTCGCCGCGGCCTGCACCGTTTCTGTGGGTGGGCAAGTCAGGGTCAAGCCTGTCAGGCGAAAGGTGCTCTTTTGTGCGTGAATTGCGGCTGTGTGTGAGAGGTGTCGCACATTCCGCGAGGTGGTCACATTTTGGTGACGCAGGGAGGACGTGTATGAGTTTGCTTGGCGTAATGGTGTGGGCCTCCAAATTTGAAAATACCTTGGTCTGGAGGGATGTTGTCCATCTAATGAGCCCGGGGGCCCGGGTGTGCTGTGCCCTTGAGAGGATGTCACCACGATATCACAGAAGCTCCCACGGGGGAATAACAGAGTTGAAATACAGCATGAACGCATAAGCATATGGCACTAAGTAGCAAAAATAAGCAGTACTTTTCAAGCAGTTTATCTCTTTGTTCAAGGGGCGATGAGGTCTGAACAGTTGCATTTCTGTTCATCGTTAACTATTACTTGTACACACAACCATTTCACAATCCAGCACCCAAAATGTTCTGCCGATGTATGCTGGTGCGCAACCTTGCCATCGTCTTGAGTTGGCAGTGCACTCGGCACCCGGCAGGCTTCACCGCAGTCCAAGTACACAGAACCATGTGGTAAAACTCAAACTCACGTTCACAATGTCACATTTTTGATTTGTTGGTGCGCAAGCTTGCTATCGTCTTGAGTTGCCAGGGCGCTCTGCACCCGGCAGGCTTCACTGCAGTCCAAGTACACACAACCATGTTGTATAACACAACCCATGCGTTACGATGTCACATTTTCTGATACCCGCCAATTATGCAACTGAGAAAGCTGTTCATACGCCAGGGACTCTGGTGCACGGCTGTACTACTGCACCCCTCCCTTTCGACTGTCGTCTGTGAGCGTAGCAGACGAGTGCCGAGTGCAGGAAGGAATGCATGTACGCCCATCACCGCCTGCCAAGGCGCAGGGACACCGCTTCGTCTTTTGATGACAATATGGACAATGACCCTTTTCAGCTTCGCCGGGTGAGGCACGCGGGAAATCGGCAGATACCGCTGCAGCCATCGAGCCCCCTTGCCGCTCCAAAGGCACCTGGACCCCGTTCGGACGTCCCATCCAGGGTCAATCTATGCAACAAGATCAATCAACATTAGAGTATCTGCAACTGGCAGCGACACATTCCATGACTGGTGTGCCTTTTTCACTTGCCCGAAAGGGCACATTCAATCTTCAGGGTACTAGCAACAGCTTGAGGACCTTTGCTCCATGCCACGTCTTCCATTGAGGGACGAAGTCAGTGCGTTGACCCAAAGCGATGTGTGGGTGGGCGCCAGCAAAACACAGGCTGCGACACATGCTAGGCAGCACAGCACCTGCCACCCATTGTGACACCCCACTGCTCCATACAACAAGCCTGTGCCATTCCTTCACCCGCTTTCCTCTGTTGCTACCTCACTCGAAGAGTCATCACCCTCGGGCTGACTAATCATCAGGATCCTTACTCACTGACCAGTGGCATCCTGACTTCTTTCCCCAACCTCCTCGCTCCCCCTTTCCTGCTGACCAGCCCCAGCCCACTGCATACCCAAGTCCCCAACCCACCCAAGACCTACACCCAAAACTCTGAACCTAAGCCCAAAACTAAACAATCACAAACTGGTTCAGCTCCGGGAAGAGCGACAAAGCTGACTTGCTGATTATGTGGGCCACCGTTGGCACGACGATGTTCCTCTTGGCAGCCACGGTGGCCAGCCCCCAGTAGATGCCCTGCACCATCATCGCCACCAGCTTGGGCACCCCGCCTGTCTGGCGGGCCATGACACCATACCAGATGGCCGAGCCCAACACCCCGAACCACGCCCCCAGGTCCTTGGCCATCTCCTTCATTAGGAAGTCCCTGTACACGAACTCGCTCATGAATGGCACAACGACGTGGAATAGTGGGGAAAAGGACCGTGCCCCATCTGTGGCCTCCCAGATCGGCAGCGTGTACATTCCCTGAGCGATCTCGACCTTCATCACGACCCACTGAAGCAAGATGGTGGTCACCCCAACTAGCACGCCGGCGGTCACCACCAGAGGGGTCATCCTGTAGTTCTCCCACCGCCACACAGGCCCGCCCCGATTGGTCATCATGAGCAGCAGGCCCAGCAGCTTGTAGCTGGACATTCGCCCGGTGGTTATGTACAGGACGACAAACTCCGGCAAGCGGAGGTAGCCCATGTAGCACGCGGCCAGGATGAACGCTACTTTGATGATCTCGATGTCGAGGCTGGAAGAGATGAAGTTGTAGGCGAGGAAGAGCATCACGGCTCGCATCGGCCACTCATATGCCTCCTGATTCTGGTAGGGGCACCTGTTGCCCTCCCCCTTGCCCCATCCCTGCCCTTGACCTGGGCACCATTGTCACCAGCCTCTTTGGAGTGAGGGCACTGCCCCGAACCCCCCACCTTGTCCTCCTCACCCTTGGCCCTGCTGCCTTTGTCGCCACCCCCCTCGGAGTGAGGACACCGCCCTGAGCTGCCAACTTTGCCCCCCTGGTTGCCCTTGGCCTCTGCCGCCTGGGCTGCCTTGACCTTCTCCGCCAGGTGGGGGCACTTCTTCATGGCCTCCTCCATAGTCATGCCTTCAGGAAGCCGCACAGGTGTCGGGTCCTGTTGGTCCGATGCATATCTCAGGCGACTGCATCTCGATCAAAGGCCGCCATCCAGCTAGAATAAAGTATGGAACAGGAATTGAATACACAGACAATCAAACACAGAACAGCAGTAGGAGTCGAGGTTCCCAACCATTCGTTGTGACTGCAGACCAGTGCCACACTGACCACATTACCAACACATGATCACAATCCGATGAAGTTGGTTCAAGTTGGTTTAATTGACAAAATCCAATCGGCTTAAGTAAAACTCTTGAGTGAAACAAGACAATGGGAATGCAAACTTGAGAAAAACACAAGCATTTTAGATCTTCAATCGCTGCCCTTTCAATTGTTAGGCGATTTCTAGCATTTTTCACATCAAAACTGTCTGTTAAACAGCCCCATCTAAACTCTGGTATTCAACAGGGATTGTGAGATCCTTGTAGACCACCTGTACACGTTTGCTGTGCGATCACCTGAATCAGCAGCGACACACATAATGATCGGTGTGTTATTTACATGTTGCCTGCAGAGACAAAATCATTTGTTCGAATGTTTGCTGCTGATGTGTATTTGTCCTGCTCCCCACAAGGTGGTCCAGTGAATATCCCCCCTTGAATTGCTTTCAACAAAATAGGGCCCATCCTGTGGCCCATTGGGCAACTTCAAAACATTGAGGACAAATGGTGGGATTTGTGCCTGACGCTTGGACGTTATCAAGTAACATTGACACAATAGCTGGGAGTTAAGATTAGTAACCGCCTATTTCCATGGCGCCTGTGCTCCTGTTCCTCACCAGCTCATCCAGCGGGTTGGTCATCGTCACCCAGCAGTTCCACAAACCCCACTTCAGCTTCCCCAAGATCCCCTTGGCCTCGCCCAGGCTTCGCATCGGGCACCGCCCACCCTGTTCCTGTCCATTCTTCAAGGCAGACCTGCTGGGGCCAAAGATGCTGGCCTCTGGGCCAAAGATTCCCTCGGTACCTGACAGGAACCCCTTGGCCATCCCATGCGCTGGGCACTTTCTGGGGGGCGAGGAGCTCAAGGGCCGGTTCCCTGCCTCTGGGTTAATCTCCTCGACTTCCTCCACCTCTTCGACTTCAGGGGCAGATTCCTTGGTGGGAGTCTTTTTGCCACGCCGGTGGAGCGTCTGTGTCTGCGCGACACCAGTGGGTGCCATGGCGGTCGCAAGAGGCACCTGCCAATCAAGCAACACAGCTGATCATTTGTCGCTCAAGCTATCTAGCCCAGGGGCAAGAAACAAGTCAGGTGTGCAAGCATCCATCAAGCTCAGCAGAATCAATCGTGGGATGCTGCCACTGGCGAAGTCTTAGCTGTTTCACAACCTCCTCCAGTGAGACAAAGTAGCAAGGTGGACAAACTCATACCACCATTGTACCACAACACATTTGTGTGGAGAACAGTATGTCTTGTCAGACAATGGACAATTTTTACCCTTGAATGGATGAGAAATGTCCCCCCAACCCCAGTACTGTAGGTCAGTTATTGCTGTACACAAGGCTTGGCACCTCACGCCAGCCTTTGCTGCATTGCCACTGGCATTCCATATGCTGTGCCTGTTCAACAAAGCTCCCAGTGTCACCTCTGGGATGGGCCTCTCCTTGTGCCCAAGTCCAAAAGCCTCGAACCAGCCCCTCTCCCTCGTGCACATCTCCCAATATCCACATATTCTTGCATCCTTGCCGTTGCAAAAGGGCCCTTCTTACCCCCCAGCCCCCTCAGCCCCACCCCACACACGCTGGCTCGCACTTTCTTGTGAGATTGCACGAGGTTCACACCTCCCCTGTTGGGATGGCGTCGCCACTGGACTCTTATGTTCCGTGGAGTACTTTAGAACGCAGTCACCCACCCACCCCTCTGCCCCCCTTCGAAATACACCCTGGAAGCTAGCTCGCGTCCAACACCGCCAGACGAGGCGAATCAGGGCAGCGCCTTCGCGCCGCGGACTTGAAGTTTCGCCGGCCTAGGTGCAAGCGCACGGTCCGTAGGTGTGGTCGCGGCTACCCTCGTTTGGGGGTAAGGTGTGAGCCACACGCTTCGTTATTCTCGCCTTGATCCCAAAAACTCCTCACGACGAGGCGCGATCCCGGCTCCCCCAATTCTAGCCGAATTCGTTCCAAATTCGAGCCCAAAAAAGTTTGCCCCGCCCCGCATGCCGACCACAGGGCCGTTCGAGAAGCCGTTCAAGGGCTCCTCCAAGCCATGCACCCGAAAAGGCATCCGGCACCGTCGCGCCAACCGCAGGGCGCGCCGCCCCTCGAAGGACGATCGGGCGCCGCCCGCGGCGCTTTGGCGGCCCGAATCGATCCCAGGAATGCGCGGCGTAGTGCAGATTATTGGTGAGCCGCGGGAACCGGCACATAAGGGCTGGTTTCCTCTTTCTGGGTCATCTAAACGGGCAGCAAGGGGCGCGCTGCGCGCGATCCGGGCGCTTTGAGATCTACCTGGGTTCCGGACGTTCAAGCCGCCCTCGGCCTGGCGCTGGCGTCGCTCGGGCGGGGCTGGTGGCGGATGGGGGCCAAGGGCCGGTTGGGAGTGTGATATGCGAGCAGCATGCGCTTCCCGCCAACTTCAGCGTCACAGCGGTGGCTTTGTTGCTGGAATTCAGAATGACTGTGAATGAGCCCCGCTTTGCCGTCGGATTTCCAAGGAGATCTTGGGAGAAAACTGGGCGGAACCAACTGCGAGAACATTAAGTGGCAGCCTAGCGTGGGCACTCCAGAGAAAGTGTCCGCATCGCACCTCTTAGAAAGGAGAAGAGCAAAGTACTCAGTACTTAGTCTTGTATCCAGTCCTGGCATCGAAAGGTATCCATGTAAGCTTTAGCGGTTGGTAGTTTACTGCTACATTCATGCAGCAAATGCAGATTCATGCCTGTGCTGGGGGCCACTGACACCACCTTTCACAGACTACTGAGAGGCAGCCCAGGCAGCCAGGCAGGCGCCACAAGAGATGCAAGTATGAATTACAAGCGCTGAATCTATTTTCTCCACCACCTTGTGCGCGAGGCCAGCAACAGGGAGAGCACAGCAAATGGCAACGCATGCCTGACGTTGGCAACTCCCAACAGCGATCCTGTGCCTGTCAGCCATCTCGCAGCCTTGTGCCCTGGGGTATAACCCACAACAGAATAGCAGCTGGTCGCTAAAACCCTCAAGCACCTCTTGTAGCCACAACAGGACACCGGAGGCCTCATTGTCCGATGCCATCAGGGCAGGGTGCTGATGCCTGAAACCCCTCACCCTTATCCACAAACCCACAACTGACAGCCCAAGTACACGTTCAAACTACACGCTCAAAATACATGTTGACTCACAATGTACAAGCCCAGCGATCAAGAACGCGTGCGCCACCTGTGGCGACTGCAAATTGCACGTGAAGTTACAATCTTCGACGCCATTAAACCAAACCGGCCCCATCGCCGGCGCCGATCATTCTGCCCCAAACAGCCCCTCCCCTCGCCGCTGAAACGCCGCCTGTCCGCAACACCCGCGTTCTTCTGCACAGTTTTCCACAAAACACCTCCCTCCACCCTCCCCACCTGTTTCTTGGTAGTTTCTCACCACTTTCTTGGTGCGTTCTCGCCATTGTCTTATTGTTTTCTCACCAGCTCCCCCCATGGCTGTGTTCCTCTTCTCGTGACAAACATGACCAAGATTTTCTCCTCCCGACAATCATGTTCCTCTTCACGTGACAAAGATGGGCGCCGTGGTGGCCGTTGGCCCCCGCTCCCCGGCGCCGCAGCCGGTCCCCGCCGGGCTCCGTGGGTAGCTCAGGTCCGGTCGGCACCGCCAGTTGTTCCCAAAGTACCCCGCCGCCAGGAACCCGCCCGAGCTCTGCCAGGTGTAGCGCGGGCCTGCCACCACGTAGTCCGGGATCTCCCGGTTGGCGCCAACCGGCAACAGCCCGACGGCGGCGCCCATCCCCGCCAGGTCCGTGCCCGCGGCCAACGCAAACAAATGCGCGCCGCCCTCCGTGGCGTTGAACGCGCCCAGCATCGCCAGCCCGATGTTGGGCCCCCGGTACCACACGCCGCACAGACAGAACCCAGATCCCGCCGGAACCCCAGATGTCGTCGAATCCCCAGATTCCTCCGAGTTCCGGGGCCCGAACTCCGCCGTCAGGCCCGCCGTGCTGCGGGGGAGCAACCGCGCCGATAGGGCGTTCACATCCGGCCCTCCGATCAGGATCAAATTCCTCCCGGCCACCATCTCCGGGCTCTCGATCGCCTCCTGGTCGCTACGCACCATCGCCAGCCCGTGGCCGTGGGCGAGCATCCGGTTGGCCAGCCGCACGGCGTGCCTCGCCAGAGCCTCGCCCGCGCCAGCGGGCGTCCCATAGACGATCGCCACCTTGCCGTACAGCACCTGCCGCATAGGCCCGCCGTTCCTCTCGTACCGCTCGTACACGCGCCAGGCATCCCCCCCGCTCACCGCCCACTGCCCGTTCTCAACTTTTTGCACAAACTCCAACCCCGACCTCCCCCCAATCGCCTCGGTCAAGTTCCGGCCGTCCACCCACAGCTCCTCAACCGCTGGGACCTTAAGGCCGGCAACGTCCCCCATCCTGAACCGCCGCACGTTGGTGGTCGCCATTCGCCAAACGCCCCCATGGATGCCTACGTCGATCCACGCCGACGTGAACGGCGCGTGGAACTGCGCGATCCTCACGCCCCCCCTCCCCCCGTGCCACAAATTCATCGCCCTCACCCTGAATGCCTTCGGCAGCGCCGGCTTGTCCCCAGCCAGCACCGCCTTGAAGAAATCCTGCACCACGTCCGCGCTGAGCACGTCCCCCCACCAGTGCGGCTCCCCGGCCACCTCGGAGATCACCGCCGACTCGGGCGCGCCGTTGATCTCGTCCAGCACCCGAGCGAAGCGCCGCAGGTTCCAGGGACACACATTCGTGTCGTCGGATCCCATGCGCGCCATGAACGGGATGCCCTTCAGGTTGACGGCCGCCACGTCCGTGTGGTAGTCCGCCACGGCGCTCATCAGCACCGCATTCAGGGACGGGTCCTCGAAGCTTGACTGCACGCCCGGAAACTCGTCCACGTACTGATCGTACCTTATCCACCCAGCAGCGCACACAGCCCCGAGGGCAAGGTCCGGGAAGTGCGTGCTGAAGATCAAGCACCCGTGGCCGCCCATCGAATGGCCCGTGAAGAGAATCCTGCTCACATCTACGGCGTAGGAATCGGCCTTGTCTGGCGCCACGCCGGGCAGGATGTCCGCGAAGTAGTCCAGGCACAGCCGGGTGTCCAGGTTGCCCACGCCCTGCCAGTCGAACCCGTACTTGTCCCTGTTGGTCGGGAACACCACCCATGCCGCCTCTTGAGCCGGGATGGCATCCGCCCACACGCGGGAAGCAGCGTCGACATCGGCTCCGTGCAGCGCCAGAACCACCGCACAGCCTGAAGTGGGGCACGGCTTGATCGGCGCCTTTGCTGCGGCATACTGTACAGAGCCATCGGCATCCAGAAAAGTGAAGGTGTAGGCATGCCCAAAGGGCTTGCAGCCCAGGGGGAGGGTGTGGTTGAAGGTGTGGGGGGGGGAGGCAGGGAAGGTGGCCGTGACGCGAAAGCTGACGTTGAGGGCGTCGTGGCAGGAAGGGGAGGGGGGGAGGGTGAGGTGGATGGGCAGGGGAAGGGCCTGGCCAGGTGCGATGGTGATGGCCTCCACGAGCCTCGCTGCGCCTGGAGTGGATGCCTGCAGGAGGAAGACAAATGTTAGGACACGGGCGAGGGGAGAAAGTTAGGTGCGAAGGGTGGGGGCCATGTTTGCTTGACATGTTTCCTCCTTGACAAGAAGGATGATCGCCGGCAGGACAAAAAGCAGGCCCCAAAACTCGAAGTTCGTGTATGGCAACTGTAGTGGGGCTTTGCCATGTGCCCATTTCAGCGCTTTGTGTGCTCCTGCTTGTCTACCAGTTGGTGCAGGAGTCGATGACCCTTAGCGGATATTGCCATCCACAGCTACCCTTGGCCAGTGGTGCTAAGCACTGGGTAAACAAGCATCGAGTACAGGGATTCGGAATCACTGATGCAGAGGTTATTATGGGCAAAGACAATGAGCAATATGCCACAAAATGGGCAACCCTCATGGCCACAAAATGGGCAACCCCTCAAGAGCAGTAGGTGTGACTTTTTTCCTTACTTTGAAAGGTGACTCATTAGCTTAGATTTGGATTGGATCTGCAAGCGGGATCAATGCAGATTGGATTCAGAGTCTCTGACTACAGGAAGCGAACACAGAGTGCATCATTCACAGCAAAAAAGTCTGGAATTTGACGCCCACCCCACCCCCCAGCCCGAGTGAAGGGGAGCGCACAGTGCTGCCCAAACCTAGCAGTGGTGAGGAACTGTTGATGCCAGTGCTTCGCACTCTCCAGCGGGAAACTCTTCAACAGTTGACGACGCCCAGGTCATGCATGAACGATAGACACTTCCCCACCCGCCCACCCCAAGGTGGTTTCAAGCTAGGGCCCATATCTTGGGCGTCCGTCCATTTGCCCCTTGGGTTTCTGCAACAACACCTCAAACAGGTGCAAAAGTTGCAAAATCTGCAGGTGTCTTGCGTTTTGTGTGTGTAGATACCACCTTCTGGGATTTTCACCCCATTGCTGGGGACCGTGCCTCGCCTCAGGGGCCCTTGAAACAGCAGCTGATACGCGCAAAGCAACATCAACGGCTCAACACTAGGCGGCTTTCCGTGCGGACGCCATCAGCCCCTGTTCGAAGGACAGCTCAAGTGGCACACCGCACTCGCAGGTCCATGGGCATCGACGCGTCCGTCCCCGCGCCCTAGACAGAACGTGTGCAGGATCCTCGTCAACGCGCTATCAACGAACCGCAATCACCACCCATTTTCGGAGCTCCCTCCTGCGCCGCTTTCAGCTGCCTCCCAATGGGATGCGGACGCCAGCTACAAATGTGCGCGCATCTACGGCACATCTCCGCCATGCAAACGCCCGAAACGAGGCGAGCCGGTCCCCCATCAGCCTCGGCAGCTTTCTGCAAGGCCCGCGCGGCCTAAAAGGCTCGCCACACGGCCTTTGCAGTTCCGTGCGGCCGCGGCCGCCATACCGTGCAGAGAGCGCCGCGCGACTCAGAGGCAGCGCACGCAACAACAACGGAAGCCCCAGTGGCCCCATCCCCACCGAAGTGCCCCACGCCCATCCTTGAGAACCACCGGACGACCAGTGCCACGACAGGATCCCCAAAACCTCCCGGCGTCGGCCACGCCCATCCCAGCCCTCCCGGGGCCAAACCTACGGCCAATCGCTCCCCCCCTTTCCCACACACCCACCCCATGTCCTCACCTGACCGCCGCCCTCTCCGCCCCCCTCCACGCCCCGCAGCTCCACGCCGATCTCCGCCGCCTCCTCCATCGCGTTCACCACCGGAAACGCCACAAATGGCGACGCTAGGCGCCCCTCCACCACGTCGGGCGCCCGCACCACCAGCCCGGGATTAAATTCCGACGGTTCCTCCGCCACCAACGCATAAATCGGCGGCACTCCACCCTGCGGGCACTGCACTCGGCAACCGAACCGCCGCTGGTACTTGAACCGAATCTCATGCCCCCCGGCACCCAATCTCACCGGGAACTTCAGCCAGGGCCCGGGGCCCCACCAGGACTTTAAGGCATACCAGTCCCCTTGAAACCACTCGCCGTCGATCTCAAACTCCTTCACGCCAAGGCATTGCACCAAGTACGTTCCCCCATCCTCGGCATCGAAGCTCCCCACCGCCCATGAGTAGAAATTCACGCTGGCGCCCAGCCCCACGGCCCCGTCGATCGTCGACTCGTCCACGTTGGGGTAGTCATCCTCCACCACGCCGTCCTCCCCGGGCGCCACCTCCCGCCACCCCACCCGCCCTCCCGTCACCAGTTCGCTCGCGTAACGCGTGGCGTCGCCCACCGCCACTCCGCCGATGCCGCCGAACGCCTCCAGGGCATCTCCCCCGCCCGTGTGGTCCCCCGAGCCTGCGAAGGGGCCCAGGACCTTGTACGAAATCCCTGCCAAATCTGGACAGCCCCCCTCTGCCGCCATCCCAGTCGACAGCGACCCTAGAATGGTTATCATCACAGCTGCCACCTTGCCCAGGACCTCGTGCCGACCACTGGTTCCGCCCTCGACATCGCATCTGGCCATCGCCTCCGCCAGTTTGTCCCTCTCCGCATCCCTGGCTCGCTTTTCGGCGATCTCCCGATCCGCCCCCCCGGACTGTTTGTGCTTGCGGGGCCGCCGGTGGCCGTCTTGGGCGCCGGACCTGCGCCGCGGAGGGCGGCGCGAGCGGCACGACGACACGCGGCCTCCACCGCCCATGCTGCACGCCGCCGACGACTCCCGGAGCGGGTGGGGCAAAACGGCGGGGAGGGGTGGCAGAGTGCTAAGTGGGACGCGAGTCGGCCAGTCCCACGTGTCATGGCGCTGGTGATGAAAAAAATCCATTAATTGCGTGTCATTGAAGACAGGTTGAGGGGCGGCGACCCCTGACTGGGCACCGCAGGCTCGATTCCGATGCGACGGTTTACAGCGGAGCAAAGAGACAACAGGAATTCTGTCCTTTACATATCCAATCCTTTCTTCGGTATCCTTGATTCAGTTCCTATTGCCCCATCGCCTCTTCGTTCTTCCAGATGTTAATTGTACTCCATCAATTCTAGTTACAACGACGATAACCATGCTCCTCATTATCATCGAGACAAAGACAAGGCTCTCGCACACGGTCGCTCTCAGGCACGGGAAGCAAAGCCGCAGTCAGATGTGTTACAGGACAAGCAATCAAATAGTACTTGCTGCAAATGTTCTTAGCAAGTAGTCACCCTGTCTCCATTTCGACTTCACCAAATTTAGCCACCGCGTTAACCGTGTCCCCCCACACCACATTTGGCACCATTTCCTTTCCAATTGCTTTCACATAACAAAACAAGATCCTCACGCATGGTCGCTAGCGGGAACACGAAGCAAAGCCGTGAACGGATGAATCACAGGATGAGTGCATCACTCAAACAACATTTATTGCAAGTGTTCTTACTTCGTATCCCCTATATCTCCATGTTCACTTCACCATACTCAAAGTTGTCAGCTGTGTGTAATTTGCAATATTTAACCAGTGGAGCCGAAGTGCACCCTTCCCTGAGGGAAGACACTATGTCGATTTTGGTATGCTTAGCATCTGATGCTAAATTGATTCAATTTGATGTTAAGATCAAGCCCGCGCCTCCCCCCCACCCCCACCCCACCCCGACCCTAGATGTTTTGAGAAGAAAAACAGCCAGAGTTGTACAATTTTTTGTGGGTTAAAAATGGAATTTTTAAAGCCATGACAGGCAAGGCGGACAGCCTCGATGGCTATAAGTTGATACGTTCTGCAAATTTCCTTGAGGTTAAGGCACTTCAGAGAGGGATAGAAACAGATCAAGAGTGTTTTGCTGCCGACCAGCAGCTTTCTGGGGCATCTTTCCATCTTATGTCGATTTATGGCAATTATATAATCCTCAACGCCATACGTCTGGACCGCTCCGGAGCGGTCCAAGGGGATCCCCTTGGCGTCAAATTGATGCTAAATGCATCAAAATATACATAGCGTCTTCCCTAAGCTGGATCATGGTCAATAAGCCCTCTGTGGATGTCCATATCAAGATACTGATGTGTCGTGGACAACATTGAACTGGGAATCCGAGAAACAGAAGGCTTTGCATTCGAATCCAATGACTTCATTGGGCGTACTTCTTTTCGTCCCCAGAGCGCAGGCTTGTTATTTACATTGCAAACACGGATCGTTCTTATGTGTTTACTTGTAGAAATGTTTTTAAATTTTTTTGCTTGTAATCATGCATGAAAATACGTAAATTCAGGCCCCGTATACATAAAAACCTTACATACAGACTCATGTAGTCCGTGGAGTGGCAGCCAGACGCGCTGGAGCGCGCACAAAACTAACCTAGGCTCGGCGATGTCGTTTACTCTTTCCGAGGGCAAGGTGGGCGCTGTGCTGCGGATGCTCGAGAATGCGGAGGACTGGTCATTGTATTCAACTTTATCATGTAATATGAGTGTCCCAATGCGTCGTGAAAACGCATATATATAGCCCCCAAAATAGCCGTTTCTGTGTGTTTACATTTCTGCGAGTTAGAACGTAAAATGCAAATGTAAACTTAAATAACAAGTCTGCTGGTGCCCACTCAGGTGGGTACGCTCGATCTTGATGGCCTGCCTCTGCCGCTTTCCTTCGCTCTTTCGATGGCTTGGTCTCGTTCATCAGTCTCTGTCGTGCTCCATCCATTTGCGAAAACGGTAGACGTTGATGCAAAGCTGTGTGCAAATTATCATTCATGCAACGCCAATAAATGTAACAGCCAATATTGGCGTATGAAACATTTGCTGAAGCGTTGCGCAGTAGTGAACCAACCAAAGGCCACCGCTCTCCCATATGTCTTGAACATGCACGGTTTCACGGCCACTTGTAGCTCCAAGCAGGCTTGGTATTTACATTTGCACTTTTATGTTCACAGGTCTACGTGCAAAAACGTAAAACTGGCAGTCTTACGCAGTGCGCAAGGAGTCATTTTTGCCTCTGTTTTTACGTTTTCATGGCTCGTTGGGAAACGCATGTGACACGATGAAAGTTGCGTCAGTCGTCCGCTATCTCCAGCACACACAACACGGTGTCTGCCTCGCCCTCGGCAAGGGCAACGACTGTGTGGAACAAAAGCTCGTTTTCTACCCATTTCAGCGCGCCTGGCTCTCACTCCCCAGACTCCCTAAGTCAGTGTGTACTCTCTTATGCACAGAGGGGTGTATTTGCGCTGTAGTTCTTCCACCCCATATTAATTGTCGTGCATGATTTGTGGCGTTACTTCTCCATCGTGCCAATATCAGTTTTCAGTGCGATTTCTCCCAAAGCTGCGCTTGTGAGTTTGGAGTATACCATATTCACCCGGTATTAGTGGGCATGTATTGGACCCCGAAATGAGCTGTGGATAATAATAGTGGGTCATGCATACTAATGCAGTTTGAACCACTGATTCCAAAGAGTATACAAAGAGAACTTTTGATAAATAGGCCGTGAGTTGCCCAAGAAAGGGCAAAAAATGGCGATGCTAGTGCGGAATGTGGTCAGCTGACCTCTTCACAGCAACTGGCGGCCTTGACTTGCAGCTGCACCAGGTGGTGGCGACTGTCGATTGGGACCGACAAGAGTTCACTGGAATGCTTGAGGCGCATTTGCCTCTGCAATGCAAAGAACAAGGCCTGACACGGGTCTCGACTCGCTGGGGCACCACGTCGCGACGATGCTTGACACACGGCGTTTTCCCTCGATGATAGTGGCTGGGAAGGCTGGCGGAATCTGTGATTGGGTATGTGGCCTGGTAGCCAGTGAGATGTGTTTTGCCCCACCTTTGCAGCGTTTTACCGGCAGTGTTGCAAGGCGGGGTCTCACAATGGCAGCTGACTCAACCAATGCCGTCGCCAGCCCATTCCTGGCGCTGGGCCTTGGGGCGCCCTTGGCAGGCGCAAGGCTGGAACTTGCTCTGGCCGGCCGGTGAGCAGATTGGGTCAATCCAGAAATATCGACCGCTTCTTTGATCAGGCCTTGCGGCGTCGGTCGCTGCCTTGTGACCCTGCGCTGAGAACGCCAACAGCGGCCAGTCGACCATGCGGTCTTTCGCGG